CTCTGCCGCCTTGTCTTCCAAGCTTGTCTCCCTTCGTGATTTCGCTCTTGGCTGCCGCTGCCAGCTTGTCTCCCAAGCTTGTCTCCCTTCATGATTTTCGCTTTTGGCTGCCGCTGCCGCCTTGTCTCCCAAGCTTGTCTCCCTTCATCATTTTGCTTTTGGCTGCCGCTGCCGCCTTGTCTGTGAAGCTTGTCTCCCTTCATGATTTCGCTCTTGGCTGCCGCTGCCGCCTTGTCTGATCAGCTTGTCTCCCTTCATGATTTCGCTCTTGGCTGCCGCTGCCGGCTTGACTCCTAAGCTTGTCTCCCTTCATGATTGCGCTTTTGTCTCAAGATTGTCTCCCATCATGATCTCGCTCTTGGCTGCCGCTGCCGCCGTGGTTCCCAAGCTTGTCTCTGTTCCTGATTTCGCTCTTGGTTGCCGCTGCCGCCTTGTCATTTTCTTGCCTGCCTTTGACGCGGATGCTGTTATAAGATGATTTAGGTCTTGTTTACCATTTCCATCCTTTTCCCGGCTTTGAGCGGGATATCTCCCAAGCTTGTCTCCCGCTCTTGCCATGCTATCCAACTTTTCTTGAAGTGCTATCCGGTATATTTATTGCTTTTTCGATAATTCCCGAAAGCATTGCGAAGGGTTCTTCCGGAAAATCCCTTGAACACTGACACTTCGACACTTACACTTACACACTGACATTTCCACACTTGCACTACAACGTGAACACATGAACACACATGAACGCTATACGTACCCCAGTGTAAGTGGAAGAGCGAAAGCATCCAAGTGCAAAGTGCAATGATGAGTATGCAAGTATGCAATGAGTACGCAAGCATGCAACGAGCATGCAAGTATGCAATGAGTATGCAAGTGTGAGCATGGAAAACTAGCACGGGAGATGTCCTAATGAAAAACATTTCCCCACTTTATAAATTCTCTCTTAAAGGCAGGGGTGGGACGAACAGCGTCAACCGAAAATGCAACCCTCTGCGGAGATCGTGCGTGTCGGGTGCGCGAAATGCAGGCGAGGGTGCGATTTGTCGGCTGCGCGCGCAACCCTCTGCGGAGATCGTGCGTGTCGAGTGAGCGAAATGCAGGCGAAAGTGCGATTTGTCCGGCGCCCGCGCAACCCTCTGCGGAGATCGTGCGCGTCGAGTGCGCGAAATGCAGGCGAGAGTGCGATTTGTCCGGTGCCCGCGCAACCCTCTGCGGAGATCGTGCGTGTCGAGTGCGCGAAATGCAGGCGAGAGCGCAATTTGCCGGCTGCCCGCGCAACCCTCTGCGGAGATCGTGCGTGTCGAGTGCGCGAAATGCAGGCGAGAGTGCGATTGAGTCTGTTTCGCGCGCAACCCTCTGCGGAGATCGGGCGTGTCGAGCGCGCGAAAGATTGGGTCTGTGCGCGCGCAACCCTCTGCGGAGATCGGGCGTGTCGAGCGCGCGAAATGCAGGCGAGAGGTGTACTTTGTAGTATAACTTTAGTACGCGGAGTATCTGGGGAGCTGGAAGCTGAGAACTGGCGACTTTGTAGTACAACTTTAGTACGCGGAGTATCTGGCGAGCTGGAAGATGAGAACTGGTGACTTTGTAGTACAACTTTAGTACGCGGACTAGCTGGGGAGCTGGAAGATGAGAACTGGCGACTTTGTAGTACTGATCGTATATCGATGGACGCGTCTCCTCTGACAGGTCACTGCTTCGACAAACTTGTTGCGCACCTGCCTCGGCAATTTTCTGTCTTCATTTCAGCTTGCTTTTTTCAGTGAGATTTCCTGGAGGCGTGCACGCTGCTTCTCCCCTTACCAGCAGCCCAAATGCTCACGACGATGAGCTGGGCTGTCACCGCTTGGCCGCCGGTGGGGGGGTTTCGGAGGCCTGCGCGCTAATTCGTTCACTATATGTACAGTGAAGACCTTCACCAGCAGCAGACATGGACATACACACACACAGACAGGGACTCATACACACACACATCACACACAGAGACCCACGCACTGCCTCAACTTACTCGGACACACACACACGCAGACAGAGACTCATATACACACGGACATAGATACACACGCACAGAGACCCACACACTACTTCAACTCACTCGACTTAACACTTCACACTGCACACTTAACAGATAACTCACACTCTGACTTCCTACGTGATGAAAAATGCTTTCGGGCCACTCGTCGTCTAGTTACGGCAGGGGGTGCCAGGGACCATGCAAGTCTGGCGCTAACAAAGACGCTTGCATGGTCTGTGATGTCAACTCGGGACGCCGAGTTGACGTACCTGCTTCGAACACATTGACTCCAGTGGTTCACCCTCACGCAGGCTGTTTTCAGGTCCATGAGGCTGCTGTAAAGTGCTAGTGAATTCTGCAGAAGAGCACGATCGCCGTCATCCTGTCGTTTCGCGCTCGTCAGTTTCTCACTTGAGATTGGGACCTCACTTTCCTGACTTTAATGTACCTGACCTCTTAGGTTTTTTCACTTAGGCTGGCGTGCGGCAAGCCGCAACCAAATCAGTACGCATAATCCCAAGTGTGTGAAGCCCAGGGATTCTCTCGTTATTTAGCAGCAGGGGGACTGGAGCCGATTTGCCTATCCAGTCCAACGAAGCTATGGCATTTCGGTGAATGAGTGGTCTGATCAACCACTTGTACCTGCCTGTTCTGACTTGGAAACTTCCTATTGGTCCCTGTGCATCCGTTTGCATCGGCAGTCACGCGTTTGCTTTTGGAGCTCTTTGCAGTCATGCATGTGTCACTTTGGTTGAGATGCTCAGCAGTGGAAAGACGTTTAGACAACCTTGCCTACAACTGTTGGTGTTCCTTAGGTTTTACTTAGAATTGCAAAGGCCAACCGCAATCGAGTCAGTACGGAGTTTCTTGAGTGTGTATGTGTACACCTTGGAGTCATAGGTAACCGGTTGATCCCAACTCACAGTGGGCAGTGGTCCTTTCAGCAGCCACTGCCTAACAAAGACATCGCTGGTTTGATGTGCTATTCGGAAAGGACGCTTTCTGAAAGTACCTGCAGAGTTGTGACTTCAATTCCCTATTTGGCCCCGCTGCTGTCCATCGCATCGGTTCTGAGGTACGAAGGTCTTAATGAGGGCACTCTTCGGGCTCATTCTGGGCAAGGCCAGGCACACTCGGGAAATGATGCGTACGAACTGACTGCGGTTTGCCACACGCTAACCCTAAGTAGGACCTAAGTATAAAACCTAAGAGGCCAGGGGTGGAATATGTAAAGCGGTCGAACCATGAAACTTCCAATGACCGCGCGTGACTGCAGAGCTCAAGTGACACGTTTCAAAAAGGTTGTAGCGACCGAAGGTTTGTTGGAGATCTCAGCCCGGGTTTTGATTTCCTTCCTTCCTGTCTTTACCTGCGTGGGTGTGCCTGGTTGGAATAACCGGGCGTCCCACTATTAGCGGAGTGTCCCACTATTGGCTGGGAGCACCGACCTTGTCCTTTCTTCTCTTATAAGGCTCTTGCGCCCGAAAGAGACTCACTCTGGCTGGCGCAGAGCTTTGCCCGCTGCGGGCACCCTTGGGGAGTATGGCTCTGCAGTCACGAGCTTTGCATTTTAGCTTTTAAGTCTTCATTTTCAGGGTTAGACCGCTTTACATATTTCACTCTGACCTCTTAGGTTTTGTACTTGGGTTCGGCAAGCCAGAGTCAGTTCGTCAGTATCATGTCCCGAGTGTGTAAACGCAGCTTGTCGCTAGTGAGTGGGATGATGGGCGCCATCAATGAGGCTTCTGTCACATTGCATGGAGTATGTGGCGCAGGCGCAGCAAGGTTATCTCTGTCATGTCGTCGTGCGTGCAGTTTGGCAAGGCTTAGGTGGAAAGTGTGTTTGCGCTGCGTCGAGCTACTACAGGAAGCATGGGGAAAACGCAGCATTTCAGCTGTTCCTTTGCTATATAGTTAGATTCCTGGGCAAGGAGGCTTGTCGTAGCTAGCGCGGCGTGCGGTGTTGCCAAATTGCGCCGGCAACGTCGCTGTGCCATGAGGCTTAATTGGTGAGGCCGCGGCGGACAATGCGTTTGCGATGCTCCACCTTGGGGGAATGCGGGAAGCACGCAGGTGTAAACGCTGCGTGTTACTGTTCAGCCGCTGCACTGTCAATAAGGCTTGGCGTGGACATTGCTGTGCGCAGTGCGTGGTACACGGTGCAGCAAATAGCGGTGGAAAGTCGCGTCAATGAGGCTTGGTGCAGCTTTGATGTGGACAGTCAAGTCAATGGTCCTGATTTGGAGATTACCGCTTCATCCCCTCCCCCTCGTCATCATACATTCAGAAGATCCACCTCAACGTGCCCCATCTCACGCATCATGACATCGTTCATCATCGCGTCTCTTCAAAGACAGAGCTTTTGTGCTCAGTCTCATTTTGTGACCCCTCCGGCGCAGCTGTTCATCATGCGCGCCCGCCCATCCGCTATCATTCCTCTTCCGTTCACTTACACACTTCTGCTGGTATCGGGCCCTTACATTTCTTTAAGCCTTTGAAAATTTTAATTGATCTGAATGCATGGCAAAAGGTTCTCGTTTAACGGGAGGCTTGATTGACTCTATCCAAATGTGACCACGCGTGGTTTATACTGCGCAGTTGCAGATTTGTGCGTGAGGTTATCATTTGGCCTCCTGTGCGATTGGGCTTTGCTTGTGCACAGTTTGCTTCGCAGCGGTGTTTTCGCGACGAGTCACAGCTACAAAAGCTGGGAAGCAGCAACGTGTCAAAATCATTCCAAACATGTCATGTGGAGCGGTGCGCATTTTGCGAGGCAAAGGGGAATCGTGACGTTGTGAAGGTTGGTGAAAGTGTATTTCGCCGCTGGGGGGTGAAGGCGCTCTCATGAGGCTTCTGCTTCACCTTCTGTTTTTTTGGAGGCTTGACGCGAGACTTTTCGGAGGAATTCTTGTGCGAAATGGTCGTTTTGCAGACTTGACACATGTCTTACAGGCATGTCATCATGCCGCAAAGCAAAAATGTCCTGAAAAAATTATCACAAAAGCCGCAAATTCAAATTGGGGTGTTCTTTCCCACTAAGAATGTCACAGACCTTGAAACAATTTTCTTCACGTCCATGTTTTTCTCCCCTCGTCTCTTCAATGTCGCTTGCTTGTAGAATTGTAATTTTTCTATCATACATCTGGCTCGGTGAGTGGCCTTGTAATCCACCTCTTCCAGGTCTGTATCATCTATCAAGCGGTCATAGAGAGATACTTGACGTAGGTTCACCGCCAGCAATGCCAGGAGGTGTACGTAGGCAAAAACGGTGGTGGTGAGCAGGCTGCCTTCCAACAAACCCACAAATACACCCAAATTCACACCATCTGCGTGCAATTTCAGGCCAAAGACGAAGGCTAACGCAAGCCCGATGACGAAAGCTCCAACCAAAGCTTTCTCCACAGCCACTGCCTTTTGGCTGCCTTTTTGTGGACTCAACTGCAATGCCTTGACGATGAGCTCTGCTGTCTCTGTGAATTCACTGCCCGGATTTCGGATAAAGGTTGCAACCATAGTCTGCAACACTTGGGCTTTCAATGCTCCCACCCCCAGCATCAAAGGATATGCAACAAGCTGAATCACTAGCGCTGCAACATTCACCACCCCCTGGCCGCCAGCCAGAAGGGGCAAAGTAACGAATTGTGGCATAATGGCCGTGACGCCTGACAGACTTAGCCACCTTAGTTGAAGCAACAGGAGGATGTTCTTGAAACAGCTTGAAATATTAGACGACGTGGTTGCCCGAACGACGCAAGGTACAGATGACGGTGATGCGATGATGATGATGATGTTGATGATGACGATGCTGGTTCAAAGAACGGCGATGGGGCAGTGTATCCGTAGGTCGAAGACCCCGGACAGAAAATACGAAGTCAAAGAAGCGACAAACAAAGCAACTACAAGGAAATGTAATTTCGCGTCGTTGTGCGCCACAGGCTCGGCGGACTCGGCGACACGCAGCGTTTAGAGACGGCGCATGTTTCCTTGCCCAAAGGCGCAGGGCCACGCAAACACACTTTCACCGAGGCCGCGGCAATCCGCAAGGCCTTCCCCCCACACAGCTGCACAGCCACGCGCAGCCTGTCACTGTGAATCAAAGGGCATTGAGGCCTAGTAACCTCCTTGTAGCCTATAGATGTCGCAATCGAAGCCGCCAGAAGGTCGATCCTTGGCATTGGATCCTTGCAGTGTAGGCCTGAAGCAAGTTCAGCTGCCCTCTTGAGGTCCCCAACCGGCTGGCCCGCCGTGGTGCAGACAGCGGCTCTGAGATGTGGACTCCGGGGACACGAGATGGGGCTTCACTGGTGACTGGGTCGACCCAACCTTTTCCTTGGTGGTTGTCAGGAGAAGCTTCTGCCCTCTCTTGGTGGTTGTCCAGAAAGGTCGACTTTTCACGTTGGGCTTTACCTGGACTCCTCCAGAATTGACCTGATCAACATCTAAGAGTTTGTGGACTGGCACGGATCTTCAATGCGTTGAGCGGAGGAAAGCCCCACTGAACAACTGTGATGGACTGCTAGCAGGACTTCCACAGAGGAACGTAGTCATCCTGGCCGGCGACTTCAACGCCAGTCTACCTTGGTCCCCCCACTGTGTTGGGCTTCATGACTTTCAAGGTACACATGGCAGAAGCACAGGAACTCAACATCCAGATGCTGTCAATCTGGTTGATCTTCTACAGCGACGAGGCCTTCTTGCCATTTATACCTGGGACACTCAGCTGGGCCCCACCTACCAGGAAAAATGGTCATCAGTCTTGGATTGACTTTGTGATGGTTCGACGCAAGTCCAGTGACTCCATTACGAAAAAACCTTTATATCTGGATCATCTTCCGGCTCGCTTTGGCCACATCAAGGACCATACTCCTCTCCTGTTCAACATCCCCTATAAGTGGAGGGCATGGAAGAAGCCAGAACACGGACTCAGCAAACCTCAACAAGCTCTCCTTCAAAAGCACTGGGAACTACAAAGTCCGGATTGGAGTCATTGGTGCCAACAACTGGGGAGTCAACTACACAGCCTGAGGGGACACCCTCCTGACTGGACTTTCTCAACCAGACCATCATGGAGGCTTGTCAATCCTTCGGTCCACCTGACGCATCACACAGATCCAAGCCTACCAACTACTGGTCCTGCGCGGCCACCTTCAACAGCCTACACCTTCCTCCGGTTGCTCTTCTTGACACCTATTCCTCGAGGCTGCAACAGCTTTTTGGTCACTGGGTCAAGGTGATTAAAATTTAACGCTGGAAACGGGAAGCTACCAAGGCTGCTCGCCAGTCCAAACGGGACAAACTCCAAGACACCATCGACTCCGCCAGGAGACACTGGTCCAACAATGACTCGCATCGGTACAACTCTCTGACTCCGAAGAATCGACCTCCTCGACCACAGCTTCGGAAATCTGAGGGGCAACTCATGCCTTTGGAGGAGGAAATTCAATGGATTCGTGACTATATGGCTGAGGTCTATGACGGCGAGGATCTACAAGACGTCAGTTCAAGCTTCCACACCTTCCGTTTGACTCTGCAGACCTGACTACTGCCCTGAGGTCTCTTCATGGAAGGACCAGCGTTCCTGCCCATGTTGCTCCCAGCTTCATTTGGAAAGAGCTTGCGCAAGACCTTGGATCCTTGCTCTTTGATGGCTCATTCAATGGCTGAGCGCTGGACACATTCCACACGAATGGCGCAAAGGCTGGGTAGTTTTGCTTCCGAAGCCAAACAAAAAATCCATTGAACCCAAAGCACTGCGTCCGATTGCACTGCAGACACCGCTGTCGAAGACCATGATGTCCATGTTTGTGCATGAAGCCAAGAAACACACTCTTCAGAACATGACCTGGTTTCTCTAATTTGCCTATCTTCCTGGGCGGGGTGGGGGAACTCTGATCAAGGTCAGCGCTCCTCCTTTGAGACCACTGTTGAACCCAACAGCAGCCTGCTACATGAACTCAGTGGTCACCGGCCTGGTTTGGTGTGCACGAGAGGCAGATGGCCTGAGTGAGGACCACTGGTCCAACTTTCCGGGGATTTTTGCGACCATTGCAGATGTCTCCCAAGGGGGTGAGCCACTTCTTTTGTGGGCTGATGGGCAGATGTTACATGCCTTCACATTGATCGCTTCGACTGGAGGGGAAGGAAAAGCCGTGCTCGATTTTCGTGGGGCTCTAAGGTGTGGATCCCCTTTTTCCTGGACACCAAGTTGGGCATCGACCACATTCCATTCGAGGTCACTGCGGTCTCATACCATTTAGGCTCTGAACCATCACGTGGTCACTACTGCGCTCCAGTGTTGGAGGGTGGTGGATGGTGGATCTTCAACGACGGGCGCCCACCAGAAGTTCGACAAGCTACCACTGGTGGTGCAGGAGAACTGCTGTCTCTTGTGGCTGAATTGCATGCCGCGTGGAAGGCTGAACCTCTCTCCCAACTTGCTGAGGAATCTCCAATTCTGTCCGATGCAGAGAAGGTCAATTGTCAACATCATCCATGATCCCACCATCAACGATGACTGGCGCCACAAATGGCTTCAGGCCTTGGGTAGCCTGGATGCAGGCATCCTTGTGGATCACCCTGAACTTTGTCATCGGCTCGTCAAGAAGTGCATCATGTGCCGAAGTTGGCCTAGGGACCTCAACTCACATATGGAGGTGGCACACCGAGCACTTTCGGAGGCATCTCTTCCTTTGGCTGAGAAGTGTGCAATCGACTGCATCACGAAGGCCCACCCAACGCGCTGGTGTGCACGCCAACCATTCTATGGCACCGACCTCACTGAGGACCCCCCGTGTCCACGCCTACGCCAATTTGGCATTTTGCATTTGGCCCTGAGGTCAAGTCAGCCGTTGAGGGCGCGAGCACCTGGCTCGCTTGCTTGATCGAACTTTCAGCAACTGAGTTGCTGGCAGGCCTTACGAGGCCCAGACGGATCAATGGATCCACGCCTTCCTTCATCACTCGATGAGCCTATGGAAAGAAAGATGATGATGATGATGATGATGATGATGACGGTTGAACAGTTGAAGTTGGCAGCGTTTTTTTCAAGAAAACCCTTCGCGGCTGTCTTCGGGAAAAGCAAGTGCTTGTTCAACATGGCAGAAAGAAAAAACAACAAGGAAAATGGCGCAGGCTTGGACCACAGCCACACATCAAACTCTGCGATATACGCAAACCACCCTCGGCCCAAGGAGAATACCCATTGGGCGACCGTGGCAGGCCACTCGTGCGATGCGGCTTTTCGCGCTTCTGACTGGTCCATGCTTGCGCCTTTCCCGCCCTGGCCACCCTCTGTCTGTCAAGAGCCGACACGATGAAAGCCAAGGCAAAAGGCACATGGTCAAGCAGTTCAAAAGAGTAAATGCAACACCAGAATTGTAAAACATGCAGCGATCGAAGGTCTGCTTAAGAACAAAAATAACAAAAAGGTTCGATTTAGCACTTGATTCGACGGCCGATTCATGTAGAGTGGGTTTGGTGGTAGATGGATTGTACTCCCCAAGTCCTTGAGAGCGACTTCGGATATCTGCGATGGTGCATTGAATTTCAATGCAACCTTTGAAGGCCTGCGTGCAGAAGTCATTGCGCTTGAGAGGCGCAAGACAGGCCAGGTTGTACATTGAGGGGGCGCAATAGTTTTTTCGCGTCGTAGTGACATTCCAGCAGCACGGAGTGTAGTGCTCAATTAGCTTACCCCCGCAATGTCCAACTTGTCTCCCAGTCTGGGCTGCTGTGTCTGCCTCGCGCTGCCGACCTTTCCTTCTTCTGGCAACGCATTCGGAGCAGTTCTTCACATTTGTTTCTGAAAACTGCTCAAGAGCCATTCTTTAGATCTGTCTCTCAGTGGGTTCCCTTTTCTGGCAGCGCTTATGCAAACTTTACATGTGTCTTCAGTTTGGGCTGCTTTGTTCGCCTTCCGGCGACTCTTTGGTAACACTTTTTTACATTTCACCCCCAGTGTGGGCTACTGCGCTTCTCTATCTACATTTGTTCCAGCCTGGGCTATTTTGTGTCCTGGCAACTCCCTTGTAGCTCTTTATATTTGTTTCGCCTGGCCAATCTCCCTACCTTGTGGCAAGTGTTTAGCATTTTTCTCCTAGTGTCCGTCCACCTTCTGGCAAATCAATGGCAATTCTATGCATTTCTTGCTACTAGTAGCAAAAATTGTTACTACTAGTAAGGCACTTGTTACTAGAAGCGATGCACTTCTTCCTAGTAGCGAACATTGTTACTGGTAGCAATACAAAGTCTCCCAGTGGCTGCGTCCGCCTTCTGGCAAAAGCACCTTCCAATGATCATTTGTCGAGATACGGATTTATGGCGGTCAACTGTTTGGCACTTTTCCGCCCAAAGCCCGTGCCGGATTGAACCCAACATGCTGCTTTATGTTAGGCCCAGCTTACCCCGTGTTGGGGGGATAACTTTGGCCCAACTTGGCACTCCCAACTTCGCCCTACGTCACAGGCCCAACATGTAGCATTGACCAAGTTGACCTCAACATGGACCAACAAGGGGAACATGGTGAAGAAAAATCACAGTCAAGCTTGCGGCATGTTGGGTTCAGTTGTTCAACGGTGAACCAGGGAGTCAATCCAATGCACCGCGCTGATATGATCCTGGCGCCGGCCGTGTTCGTCGAGGAGAGACATGAGTAGATCGGTGAAACCCAACAGTGTCGCAAGGTGCGCGAGATCAAAATCGCTTCCGCTAGATGAAGAGTTGTGAACAAGCATGAGGCTATAAACGGAGATATATTGTTCGATCAAGATGCGTCCGTCGCAGCCGAGTTAGGTTTCCAGCCAGTGCGACTGCGTCGTCAGAAGCCTTTGTTAGGAAAGAGAAAGAACGGAAGCGTTGGGAAGACAGCGTGAGTCTTAGACATGAGTGCTGCAGTCTTGCGTGCACCCATGAGTCATCCAGCAGCGGTATCTTTGCCAGTTGGGATGAGATATGAAACTTGATGAAACTTGTGAACCTTTGTTCAGTATCTTGGTGAAGGCCATCAATGGTCTCAAGTCGTCGTGGTATCCACACTTGACAGATCTGTTGGAGAAAGTTTGTCAGCTCGTAAGAAAATTTTGCAGGAAGGTATTGGAGAAAGGTGTCGCGGAGACCGATGAAGAAAATCATTACGGGGGGCGATCGGAACATTTAGTTGCTCATCGATGAGTTGTTGAAGAAGCGCTGACTTGAAGATCGAATTTGAACATTCAAGTCTTGGTTTTTAAAAATCTAGAAACCAAATGAATTAGCGCGAGCGCTTCTTCAAGGAAGCTACCCTGCGTCCAAGGTAATAGCTACTTAAGCTACTAGCTACATACTTACTAGACCTACCCCCCCGGGCGCGCGCGAAAAAGCTACTACTAGCTATTCCTACCCTACAAGTCAAAGACCTAATTTTACTCGGGATTGTTCTACAAAACCAACACTTAAGGAGGTAAACTAGACGACGAGTGGCCCGAAAGCATTTTTCATCACGTAGGAAGTCAGAGTGCGAGTTATCTGTTAAGTGTGCAGTGTGCAGTGTTAAGTCGAGTGAGTTGAGGTAGTGTGTGGGTCTCCGCGTGTGTATCTATGTCCGTGTGTATATGAGTCTCTGTCTGTGTGTTTGTCCGAATAAGTTGAGGCAGTGCGTGGGTCTCTGTGTGTGATGTGTGTGTGTGTGTATGAGTCCCTGTCTGTGTGTGTATGTCCATGTCTGCGCAGGCCTCCCAAACCCCCCGCCGGCGGCCAAGCGGTGACAGCCCAGCTCATCGTCGTGAGCATTTGGGCTGCTGGTAAGGGGAGAAGCAGCGTGCACGCCTCCAGGAAATCTCACTGAAAAAAAGCAAACTGGAGTGAAGACAGAAAATTGCCGAGGCAGGTGCGCAACAAGTTTGTCGAAGCAGTGACCTGTCAGAGGAGATGCGTCCATTGATATACGATCAGAAGTAACGTTTCCTTCATTCCAGGACAGAGCTTTTCTAGGATGTAGTTCACCAACCACTATGCTTGTCATTGACTAAATCACCGTCTCAAAGAAAAACGCGACAAAGTAGCATGAGGTGACACACAGCAAGCGCCGCAGATGTTTAGCGTAGTCTCGCTGTTCGGCTCGCGAACAGTATTCTGGCGAACGAATTAACGTGCAGGCCTCCCAAACCCCCCACCGGCGGCCAAGCGGTGACAGCCCAGCTCATGGTCGTGAGCATTGGAGCTGCTGGTAAGGGGAGAAGCAGCGTGCACAGCTGCAGGACATCTCACTGAAAAAGGCAAGCTGGAATGAACACAGAAAATTGCTGAGGCAGGTGCGCAACAAGTGTGTCCAAGCAGTGACCTGTCAGAGGCGATGCGTCCATCGATATATGATCAGAGCTAACGTTTCCTTCACTCCAGGACGCATAGCGTTTCTAGATGTAGTTAACCAACCAGAATGCTTGTCATTGACTAAGTGACTGTCTCAATGTCTCAAAGAAAAACGTGACAAAGAAACATGAGGTGACACACAAGTCGCCAGTTCTCATCTTCCAGCTCCCCAGCTACTCCGCGTACTACAGTTGTACTACAAAGTCGCCAGTGCTCATCTTCCAGCTCCCCAGATACTCCGCGTACTCAAGTTGTACTACCAAGTCGCCAGTTCTCATCTTCCCACTCCCCAGCTACTCCGCGTACTAAAGTTGTCCTACCAAGTCGCCAGTTCTCATCTTCCAGCTCCCCAGCTACTCCGCGTACTGAAGTTGTACGACAAAAGTCGCCAGTTCTCAGCTTCCAGCTCCACAGATTGCTCCGCGTACTAAAGTTGTACTACTACTCCGCGTGCTAAAGTTGTACTACCAAGTCGCCAGTTCTCATCTTCCCACTCCCCAGCTACTCCGCGTACTAAAGTTGTACTACCAAGTCGCCAGTTCTCATCTTCCAGCTCCCCAGCCACTCCGCGTATTAAAGTTGTACGACAAAGTCGCCAGTTCTCAGCTTCCAGCTCCACAGATTGCTCCGCGCACTACAGTTGTACTAGAAACTCGCCAGTTCTCAGCTTCCAGCTCCACAGCTACTCCGCGTACTAAAGTTGTACTACAAAGTCGCCAGTTCTCAGCTTCCAGCTCCACAGATTGCTCCTCGCACTCTCACCTGCATTTCGCGCGCTCGACACGCACGATCTCCGCAGACGGTTGCGCGGGCAGCCGGCAAATCGCACTCTCGCCTGCATTTCGCGCACTCGACACGCACCATCTCCGCAGAGGGTTGCGCGTGCAGGTTGCAAATCGCACTCCCGCCTGCGTTTCGCACACTCGACACGCACGATCTCCGCAGAGGGTTGCGCGCGCAGGTTGCAAATCGCACTCTCGCCTGCGTTTCGCGCACTCGACACGCACGATCTCCGCAGAGGATTGCATTTTCGGTTGACGCTGTTCGTCCCACCCTCCGCCTTTAAGAGAGAATTTATAAAGTGGGGAAATGTTTTTTCATTAGGACATCTCCCGTGCTAGTATTTTCCATACTCACACTTGCCTATTTTCCATAGTCACACTTGCCTACTCATTGCACGCTTGCATACTCATTGCATGCTTGCATACTCATCATTGCACTTGCATCATTACACTTGCATACTTACACTTGCATACTTTGCGCTTGGATGCTTTCGCTCTTCCACTTACACTGGGGTACGTATAGTGTAAGTGTGGTGGAAGTGTCAGTGTGTAAGTGTAAGTGTCGAAGTGTCAGTGTTCAAGGGATTTTCCGGAAGAACCCTTCGCAATGCTTTCGGGAAAAACCAAGTTTTACTGGGTCTTTGGACTTGTAGGGCTACCTCTAGCTACCTCTCTAGCTACTACCTCTAGCGGCCTACCCCCCCAAAAAGAAGGGGACATATTTCCCTTGTTGAATAAGAATGCGAGAGCATGATGTCATTGTGGCGGAAGGAAAGTCTGTCAAGCTACACCCAACGAGACGTTGCGTTTCGATCGAGACGTTGCCGCCCAAAGTTGCCACGAAGCTAGGACGAAGATTATTAGCGCCCACCGAAGATTCAGACTTATGCCGATGCCAGTCAGGCAGCAGAAAAGTCTACGAACCCTTTGCTTGTGAGTGTTGTGTAAAACCCTACAGTCGACTTCAGCAAAGCGTAGCCTGCAGTTCAGCTGAGGCAAAGTTCTAAACGCCTTGTTTGAGTGAGCGAATTGAACGGGCTTCAGCGTTCTATAGCCCGCGCGTTTATGGGTGTCCGGTTTTTCCGACTCCAATTTTACCGACAGAATGGACCCCGCGGGGAACGTGACAGAGATGTTTTGGGACTGTTACGGAGGCGGGGGAATATCAAAGCCAGGAACTGTTTCCTACTGATCACGGGACACATGGAGAGACCATTGACAGTATGAGAGAGTTGATGTCAAAGA